AATGAATACGCCGTCGAAAAGAGTCTCTTCACTGAACGCCTTCTTTTCTTTTAATTTGAAAGGTTAAAGAAGTATTAAACACGTATATTATGCCTTTTCTTTCTTTAACAATAAGTGAAATGATGTGGTGTGGTGTGGTACTCAATGGAGAAAACAATCCGAGGGGGGGCGGGGATACTTCTGAAATACATTAACTCATGCTGATGAGAAGTAAGTGTATCTCTAACTGTATATATCCAACTCGGAGAACATCTCAGCATCTTTAATGAAATAGTCTTCACATCATCACTCTTCAATGGCGGAGGTTAAAGTATCATAGGCAAAGTCAAGGTCTTTCAAAAGCTGACCTTCAAAAACCGATCATCACACACAAGGAATAGGAATGCTATGAAATATCACACTCCAAATCATCGAATCATGTCTGCCTTTTAGAACACAAGGATATCCACAAGGCTACATGGGTGTCACCAGATGGGCGAACCAAATCCAAATTGACTTCATCTTAATACTGCTCAAGAACATGGAGGCGCAGCCTACTGGACACGAAAGTAAGAAGACGAGCAGACGTTGGCTCAGACCACTATCTCGTACAAGGGAAAATCCAAATCAAATTAAAAGCTTTCAGAGAAACAGGAGCTGCAGATAGACCACAAGCCAAGTTCAACACTCAAAAACTGAAGGACCAGGATACAAAGAATATCTTTACTGCAAGCATAAAAGACAAAGCTGAGACACAAATCAACACAGACGAACAGGTCAGCGTCGAAAAGCACTGGAACAACTTGAAAACAGTATGGAGTCAAACCTGCATGGAAGTTCTAGGCAGAAAGAAGAGATAGGACAAACAGTGGCTCACTACGGACACTTGGAGACTAATAGAAGATAGAAGGATGGTGAAACAAAAGATTATCTAGTGCACCGACGAGCAACAAAAACAGGATTTGAATGCAAACTACAAGACACTGAACAAAAGAGTAAAGAAGAGTGCCAGGGAAGACAAAAGAAAATATTATGAAGCCATGGCAAGTGAAGCACAACAAGCTGCAGGCAAAGGAGATCTCACAACACTCTACCAAACAACTAGGTACCTATCGGGCAATAGTTTGACACAAATCAAGCCGGTGAAGGATGACAATGGAAAGTCACTCAACAAAGAAGTAGAGCAAAGGAAACACTGGGCTGAAAACTTCAAAAGACTCCCAAATTGACCACCACCTAAAACGCGCCCAGCAATACCAACGACGGAGACAGAGCTACCACTGAACACCAACCCCCCGACTAAATCAGAAGTCCTGAAGGCAATCAAGATGCTAAAAGCTGGAAAAGCAGCAGGACCAGATGGAATCTCGGCAAAAGCATTGAAAATGGACCCAGAAACAACAGCGGACTTGATGACACCACTACTGGAGAAGGTATGGAAAGAAGGCAAAGTACCCGAGGATTGGAAGAAATGATACTTATTCACACTACCAAAGAAAGGAGACTTAAGTCAATGCAAAAAATGGCGCGGAATTATGCTCCTGTCCATCCAAAGCAAAATACTAAGCCGCATCATCCTGGAGAGAATCAAACATGCCAACCTGGATGAAAAACTTCGACCGGAACAGGCTGGATTCAGGAGAAACAAGTCATGCATTGATCAGATCGCCACATTACGGATCATCATTGAACAAAGCTTGGAATGGCAGTCACCTCTCTATCTCAACTTCATCGACTTTGAAAAGGCCTTCGACAGACAGTGTCGATCGAGAGTTGCTTTGGCAAATACTTCGTTACTACGGGGTGCCACCGACAATTATACATCTCATCCAACAGCTGTACGACAATGCTGCATGCCAAGTAATCCACAACGGGAAACTTACAGAATCCTTCGAAGTGAGGACAGGAATAAGACAAGCTGGCTGGCTGCCTACTATCGCCAATGATTTTCCTGATTGCAGTAGACTGGATAATGCGACAAACAGCAAGCAATGAGGAAACAGGCATAAAATGGACACACACGAAAAACTTGGAGGATCTCGACTTCGCCGATGGTATATGTCTGATTTCCCACAAACTGGAAGACATGCAAGCGAAAAGCAACAAGGTGGCAGAAGAAGCATCAACGATAGGACTTCAGGTGAACATAGATAAAACAGAGGTGATGCAGATTCCTGGGCAACACCACCAACAGCAACAACAACAACAGACAACATTCAGCATAAATGGAGGGAACCTGAAAGAAACAACTTCTTTTACCCACCTGTGAAGCCTCGTTTCAACTACAGACGGAACTGACGAGGATATCAAAGCAAGAATCGGAAAAGCAAGACAAGCTTTCACTACTCTCAAGTCTGTTTGGAGATCAACACTCAGCACTCAGCATCAAAAATAAGATCCGGATTTTCAACTCCAATGTGAAGTCAGTCAGTGCTTACTATACGGATCAGAGACTTGGCCAGCGCGTCATAAAGAGCACCTCAAACAAACTGCAAACCTTCATTAACAGTTGTCTTCGCTCAATATTTAAGATCAGATGGCCAGAAAAGATCAGAAACAGAGATCTCTGGAAGCGAACCAACCAGGAACAGATTGTAAAACAAATAGGCAGGAAAAAATGGAGATGGATTGGCTGGTCATACTCTGAAGAGACCATCAAGTTACATCACTAGACAAGCCATTGCTCGAGTGGAACCCGAAAAGGAAGCGGAGAGTTGGTCGTCAGTGCAAGGGTGACTTGGAGGAGGTCATGTGAAGAGGAGATGAAAACGTGTGGGCAGACATGGAACCAGGTGAAGACTCTAGCAGAGAACCGAACGCAATGGAGACGCACGGCTGAAGCCCTATGTTCCTCTAGGAATTAAAGGATACAATAATAATAACAAATGAATAAAAGACGTAAAGCCGAATGTATGCCTCTATGCGAACAAGTGCCTGCTGACTGACGCTTGACATCAACCAGAATAGAATCTAAATAAACCGACTTTAAGATCATTTTGATAAAAATGTGATCCTCTCTCATAAAACCATAAAACTATTTAGATGCATGTATCATTTCAGGAAATCCCTACACCTAAAGTGTTGCTACTTTGCAGGGATTTGATCGGTTACGGAGCTTTGATGTCAAACTGATAGCCATTACAGAAGCATTGAAAAAATTCAAAGTGTACTGAACAGCCCTTTCGTCCCCGTTTGAGACTCTTCAGCATCACTCAGCCACATGGGTTCGAACCCAGGACCTTCGGATTGCAAGGCAAGCCCACACACACACACACACTGGGAATGGATCTAATGACAAATGAATTCCAAGTTATGCTATTTTGCGATGTAAACAGCACAACCACTGGTCAATGTCATCATCGGTGGGTAACTAACTTCTTACTTGACCTGATGGACGCCGCTGGTCATGACTTCACAACTTCCAATACCTTCTCCTTGGTCTTCTAATGCTTCTTTAATTGATGTCATTGCGTAATCAAACTTGTAAGTAATCAAACCCCGGTAAACCAACCAACAACTGAAAATTAATCTGATGCTCACTGGCTGCAACTGGCTGTACACAAGAAGAAAGTCACCTGGAGTTCTAGTGAGAGGTCGTAACCTGGAGAGTTAATTGCCGATGACAGTGTCTGACAGGTGCGCTATGGGTGTATTGGCGGAAGTTGGAGTTTATGGACCATAGGATTGGCTTCAAGTGACTGAAATTTCTATCCATCAAAACTTCATTATGCGTCAAACAGTGGGAAACGAGAAGACAGGGATATCCTGGACCGACGCGAACAACCTAGAAGACCTGCATTTGGTGGATGATTTATGTTTGATGTCACACAAAATCGAAGACTTACAAGCGAAAACCGACAAACTGGTCGAAGAAGCACCAAAGACAGGACTCCAGGTGAACATAGACAAGATGGAGGTTAGGAAAATAACCAACCAACAACAACAACAGCAGCAATATCCAGTGCCAATCACTATCAACGGGAGGGATTTGAAAGAGGTTACTTCATTCACTTATCTAGGGAGCATTGTCTCAACTACAGGGCGGTGGAACGGACGAGGATGGCAAATCGAGAATCGGGAAAGCGAGAAACACATTCATCAACCTGAAACCATTCTGGAAATCTTCGTCACTCAGCATCAACGACAAAATGAATCGGATTTTCAATACAAACGTCAAGTCAGTCAGTTCTTCTATACGGATCAGAAACTTGGCCAGTGGGCCACAAAGAATATTTCCAACAGCCTGTTGCAGACCTTTATCAACAACTGTCTTCGCTGGCTCTATACTGAAGATCAGATGGCCGGAAAGAACAAGAACCAACAAGAAACTATGGGAACAAACAAACAAAACAAGAACCAATCGCTCAACAAATATGCGGGAGAATGTGGAGATGGATTGGACACTCGCTGAGGAGGCCGTGTGTGACATCGCGCGTCAGGCCATCGCTCGACTGGAACCCGAAAGGGTAGCGGCGGCGAGTGGGACGTTCAAGGGTGACATGGAGGAGATCGTGTGAAGAGGAGTTGAAACAGTATGGACTAACATGGATGCAGGTGAAAAGTACAGCAGAAGACAGAAACAAGTGGAGACGTGCAGTTGAAGCCCTATGTTCCACTAGGAACCCAAAGGAACAATAATAATATAATAATAAAACTTCATTAAAGTTGATTTACCTTCCTCCTTCCTAATTATTTATTCATTGAGATTAAGCATAACAAAACACAGTGTGTAGTTAAAAAAAAATGATATCCCAGTAACGAAATAATTAATTCATGATACTACTGATTGTGGGTCCACGACCCCCCCCCCCGCAATTCGGGTCTTCAAATCTCTTTCTACTTGTCACATCTTACAACTCTATAGACAGAAGCACAAGGAAACCAACTTGAAGTGTCTGTGTACATTAATAATAACACTTCAAGCCGGTTGTTCGACAACACTAGTCACCCCTATACAAAATTTCATTTTACGATAAGCTTAAAGAAATCAGTTATTTTTGCATATATAGCAGTCTGCTCACCTGCGTATTCTTTGATGGCTCGTTATTCCCTGAAGATGTTGTCGATCGAGTCAACTTCCCCTTTAATAAAATAAAAAACAAAAATGAGACTTAAAGTAAATATATAAAACATGCAAGTTAAAGCGAACCCTTTGGAAAAAGCGGGAAAAGAAAATGGAATGTCACTCAACAACCAGCCACATCTGTTCTGTGTGTGTGTGTCGGCTAATGATACTACCTGGTTGCTCAAACCACAGCAGATGCAGCAGAGTTCAGACTTGTGACTCACTACTGGTTGCAAGTCTAGCGCCCAGATCAATGAGGCACAGCTGCACACAAGGGAACATACACAACTGATACAAAAGGTGGAATACACGGTGGCTTCAACAGCACATTTCCACTTTATCCTGTTCTCTGAAGTCCTCTCGCCCACAGGCTTTTCTCCTCACACGATTCCCTCTATGATGATCCCCTCTGACACACGCCCAACTCATCGTTTTTGCCATTCGGCTTCCACTTGACAGCCTGAAGTGCAATGGTATTCAACGGTCTCCTCTCTTTCGGCGTGTGTGTCCAATTCATCATACTCGTAGAGAAATACGTTCTTGACTGCTTCAGTCTCAGAGTTTCTTGTTGTTAATTTTTTCTGGCTGGAGAAGGTAGCTGTTGATAAAAGTCCGCAGTAGTCTGTTGGAAATGCCAAGTTTCTGATCCATCTAGAAGAACTGACTCACTTCACATTTCTGTTGAATAGAATCCAAATCTTGTTCTTTATTCTGAGTGCAGAATATTTCCAAACTGATTTCAGAGTGATGAGGATGTCTGTCTTGCCTTTCCGATACCACCCCCCCCCACCACTCCTCGTTTTGACATTCTCATCCGTTCCGCCTTTATAGTTGAAATGTCGCTGTCGAGATAAGTGAAGGAAGTGACCTCTTTGAAAAATTTCTCCCACTGACAGGGATTAGTGTTGACTGTTTTTCATGTGGTTGTGTTCTCTGAGCAGCTGGATAGTAAATTTGCGAAGCTTTCATCACCCTACTGGGTGACATCTTCAGCGCATACTTCAATTTGATGAAGTGAGCTTTTCGATTTCTCCACGAGTTTATTAATCATCTCTCCTGGCGAACTTGGACGTGATTGGCTGTTTTTGTGTGTTTTCACACCTTCTAGGTTACTTGTATTGTCACTCATTGTTTCTTTGACTTGAACTTTGACCCTTTGTGTATGAGGTTTCTTTCTTATCGGTTGATAAATTTTGTCTATTTCGATGTGTCTATTGATTGATGATTCACTAGAATACCAGGCAAGATTCTAAAAATTCTCTAGCATTCTTGTTGTTTCCTCTGTCTAATATTTGAACGCTGGTTGTCCCAGTCGAATTGATGTCCGTGGTTGTCTGTATGTAGTGATATAAGGGAGTGGATATCATGTCTTTTGACGGCTAGCTTATATTCGTGGATACGAAGACGAAGGGGACGTCCACTTTGACCAATGTAGTGTTTTTCGCAGTTGATACAATCTATTTTGTAGATGATGTTGGTTTTTATCTTCCTTCGCTGTTGAGTCTTTTGGTTGACATAGAATTGAGTGGAGTGACTTTATTGGTTTGTGTACGACGTCAATTCCTACAGGTTTGAAGAACCTTGTAGTGATTTCTGAGATGTCCTTCATATATGGTAAGGCGATTTTCTTTGTGCTTTCCTTGGGGGCTTTTGGTTTGATAGGTTGGCTTGGGGGTATAGGTCTTTTGATGAAATTCCGTGGATATCCATTCTTTTGGAAGACATCCATGAGATATTTTTCTTCAATTTTCCTTAAGGTGGGAGTGCTGCAATGAGTCCTGGCTCTCTTGAATAGTGTTTGTATGCAATTCCTCTTATGTTCTATTGGATTGTTGCTGTTGTAATTCAGGATTTGGTCTCTTGTTGTTGTTGTTGCTGTTGTGGGTCGCCAAGTATCTTCATCACCTTTGCCTTCTTCTGTCTGTTCATATGCAATTCTGTCTTCTCTGCCCTTCATCTTCTACCAACTTGTCGGCTTTCCCCTGTAGATCTTCAAAGTTTTGTAACACTGGACATGAGTTGTCCACAAATTGCAGATCTTCTAAACTCATCTTATCGGTTCAACATAACTGAGACAAAAAAGCAATTAGCATGATAATAAACGAGTAAATAAAGTTGGGAAACAAAAGACTCAACACACACACACACATACACAGACAGCTGGACTCGAACATGCAACTACTTGGACAAACAACAACAAAACTTTTGAATAGCTTGAAAATCCCCATTGAGTTATATGAAAAAAGAGAGAAGACGTTCAGCCAAGAGACTCTTTTCGACGGCGAATTCATTCACATAGCTGTACAATCGCATTTATATAGAATCATTTGTGTGTGTGTGTGTGTGTACATGAGGTTTGTCAAGTTTAGATAACTGATCAGGCAATACAAGAATGAATGATCTAATATAGATACAAGGTTAATCAGACAGCAACTAAAGTAAGATTGAGTTGGTTAGTAAGTTAGATGACGTAATATAATTGACTAGAAATTGAGCATTGTTCAAGTCAGTAACAGTGGTAGTGAGGTGTAGGAATTAAATCGGGTGGGGGTAGAGAACAAGAAAATATTACAATTGATAAGACAAAAATAACAAAATAATACTACTAGCCGTAGTTCGACTACGACTAACCTTCTCCACAAAACCCACGATTCATGTGAACGTGAAGGATAAGACACCGCTGCTGGCCTCATCAATGTGTATTTATCAATTCACCTGCTCGTGTGGAGCCAGGTATGTCGGCCGTACCCAGCGTTCGCCTTCCAAACGTATCACCGAACACTTACCAACGTAGTTTTACAAAGGAAAAAATCGATGCCTCTGCAGTTCCATCTTAGAACATCTGATAGAATCCGGACACCAAGCTACTCCGCAAACAAACTTCAAAGTCGTCTACAGAGTAAGAAGTAGTCTCCCTAAAGGTGTACGAATCAAACTTCTTCAAACTGCAGAAGCAATGGCGATTCACTTGTCAAGTCCTGAACTCTGTATACAGAAGAAGTTCATTCAATCACTACACTAGCAATGGACGTAATCTATCTTATTAGCTGGCAAGTAAATTCTACCTAATCTTTTCTTCTGTCTCTTCATTAGTATTATTTTGTTTTCTCAATTGTAATATTTTACATTTTCAACTTTCTTGTTCTCTACCCCCACCCGATATAATTTCTACACCTCACTACCACTGTTACTGACTTGAACAACGCACAATTTCTAGTCATTTATGTTATGTCATCCAATTGATATACTCAATTTCACTTCTACTTAGTCTCTACCTGTAATTATCTCCGTAGCTACCCTGATCTAAGTTGAAACATTTTAGTCAATTATATTACGTCATCTAACTTACTAAATAACTCAGTCTTACTTTAGTTGCTGTCTGATTAACCTTGTTTCTATATTAGATCATTCATTCTTGTATTACCTGATCAATTATCTAAACTTGACAAAGCTCATGTACACACACACACACACACACGAATGATTATATATAAATGCGATTGTACAGCTATGTGAATGAATTCACCGTCGAAAAGAGTCTCTTGGCTGAACGTCTTCTCTTTTTCAAACAACAAAACTGGCAACTACATTTATTAAACAGGAATAGAACACGAAATTTGAAACACTACAGTGAAAATTACAAAATGATAAGTGCAACGAAAGTGGAAACACAGTAAACACTAATATAAATATAAATATATATATATATGCATCGGTGGCACTGCGATAGAATGCTCGCCGACCACGCATGTGTTTTGGAGTTCGATCCCCGGCCGACACACTCCTCCTTTACCTCGATAAGCTGGTAACAAGACCGGTAGAGGGAAAGCTTGGGTATGAGGTTAGGAAACCCACCACGTGAAAATAAACACCACTGCTACCGAGACTTCAAGCCTCTAACTTCAAGCCTTCTATTTTCCACTGGGAACGTAAACGTCAAAAGTATTACACACATGCATAGCGAATATTACAGTCAAAACGCATCGTTAAACATCTCATCATTTTAGCAAGGAGAAGTCATTTTTTTTCAAACAAGAAAGTATTTACACATAAATTATAAAACTTCAGAAATATAACGGATAATCACAATTTTACTGAATATATTAACATGCACGATTATTATTCTTTCTCAACTATTTCACATAATTCTAAGCTAACACTAATCCAAAGGGGACGGGGACACGATGATAATGGGTCAGTGACATGCATTTCAAAATAATCAATTTCAACCTTTTGTCTACACACTGCACAATGAGCTGGGGTCAAGGTGACAGTTTAATCTCATACAAAAAAACATCAACAGCAAAAACGTCTTAAACTCATTGCCAACACGATAATCAACTAATGAAAAAGTATACACAAAAATGACTAGGCAAATCTTTCTTGTGTGACAATATCATTCGAGTAAGTTCTGAGGGTGGGTATCTGACGACGACAAAGCTAATTTTGATTTATTATCATTATTATTATATTATTGTTCCCTTGGGTTCCTAGTGGAACATAGAGCTTCGGCTGCACGTCTCCACTTGCTGCTTCTGTCTTCTGCTGTACTTTTCACTTGCATCCATGTTAGTCCACACTGTTTCAACTCTTCTTCACACAATCTCCTCCATGTCCCCCTTGGACGTCCCACTCGCCGCCGCTTCCCTTTCGAGTTCCACTCGAGCGATGGCCTGACGCGCGATGTCACACACGGCCTCCTCAGCGAGTGTCCAATCTATCTCCACTTTCTCCTGCATATTTCTTGAGCGATTGGTTCTTGTTTTGTTTGTTTGTTCCCATAGTTTCTTGTTGGTGATTCTTTCCGGCGGCCATCTGATCTTCAGTATAGAGCCAGCGAAGACAGTTGTTGATAAAGGTGTGCAACAGGCTGTTGGAAATATTCTTTGTGGCCCACTGGCCAAGTTTCTGATCCGTATAGAAGAACTGACTGACTTGACTTTTGTATTGAAAATCCGATTCATTTTGTCGTTGATGCTGACTAACGAGGGTTTCCAGATTGGTTTCAGGTTGATGGATGTGTTTCTCGCCTTCCCGATTCTCGATTTGACATCCTCGTCCGTTCCACCGGCCTGTAGTTGAGACAATGCTCCCTAGATAAGTGAATGAAGTAACCTCTTTCAAATCCCTCCCGTTGATGGTGATTGGCGGTGGATGTTGCTACTGCTGTTGTTGTTGTTGGTTGGTTATTTTCATAACCTCCGTCTTGTCTATGTTCACCTGGAGTCATGTCTTCTCTGGCTGCTTCTTCGACCAGTTTGTCGGTTTTCGCTTTTAAATGTAGCTAGTCAGAAATTGGGTGGTTTGAATTGATCTGAGTCAGACCCCTGGGTACACCGCTGATATGCTCAGCCCCAAACAACAGTAACGGCCGTCCAGTGTGTTAAGACCACTTCGAGTTGACTGACTGGCTGGCTGGCTAGTAAGCACACTTCACTTCTTACTACTGATTGATGTGAATGGTATCCCACTACTGATGCCGGTCAATCAGTAGTATACAGCGTGATGCAGCATTTAAACTAATTATGCTTTATTCACACAGTTTTGCAATTCGTTATCTATCCCCTTAAAAAAATAATAATCACAAAATCACAAGTCGTGACCACTGGTGGTGTCCACCTGGTCGAGTGTGAGGACAAATTACTCGCCAGCGATAACACTTGCTAGTGGTCGTGAATTGGCAGAAGTTAGAATTGATAGGCCAGTGGCTTAATGGTGGTCTACCAGCTCGAAACCTAGTGGGTGCTTACTAGTGAAGAGTCCGAAACAAGGAGGAAACACATCTGTCCCGTATTTGCTGTTGCTTTTCCAATGGTTCTATATAGCCGCGGTTATTTCACAAAAATTGTTTAATCCAACAATCCAACCAGTTACCACCAACTAACCCACGACGACGCACTGACGTACAACTAACTTACTGTAAATTTTGTTTAGAAATAATCATCCCAAATACACTGTGCATGCAGACGACAACAGATAAGGTGGAGATGGAGGGGGAGATAGATGGAAGCACATTTATTAAGACAACAGAAAATCAATCTGGAGAATAAGAAAAGTATAAAAAAGAAGTCTCCACACACACACACACAAAAGAAGAAACTGATTCAATGAAGTGAAGTAGAGTGAAGTGAGCATGCAATAAATCTCCCCGACGACCACATATCATGATAGTAATAATTATTTAGCTAATTCAAACTCACAAATAATGAAGAACCAGATTGGATACCCATATTAGAGAATGGAATGGTAAGCTATTCGATGAATTAGAAGGGGAAATAATACTCATATATATGCATACATATATTACTAAAATAAAATGCATAAAAAGTGAATATACAACTGTTACTATTATTATTATTATTATCATTTATTTATCTAAAACATAGACTTGGTCGCAAAATAATTCAAATGAATTGTCGTCAAGATTTGACAGAATAGTTATTTTGCAATCGAATTAAATTAACAAAGAAACTATGTAATTGGAACAATCATCGTGTTTTCAATCTCCGTTGTCTGCAACAGAATGCACATCCTAAATCCGTAGCTGTCGAGTCACCTGACAACTCCAGTAGGTCAAATGAGGCAGCTCAATCTTCAGAAAGAAGACATTGCAATAAGTTCGACAGGGTGCTTAAACTAAACTCTAATCCTAAACACCACAATTTTGAAAATACGTCTAATCATAAAATTCTAGATACTAGCAGTTTGAACGGACATGAAGGTTTGATGTTAGCTGATGCATAGGAAATCCTGATTAATAAATAAATAAAAATGGATATGTCTCACTAATTAATAATACTTGGTCAAAATTCTCGACTGTTCATATCTTCCTATGGAGACGTTAAGAAATGTTTTGCAACTGTTTACACACACACACACACACACGCATGCACACTCTGTTTAAAGTGTTTAACAAAGGTAGACCAATATTTGTAAGTCCGAGGTCAAATTTTGATCACAGCTCATACAATTTTGTTTATTATTATACTTGTTGATACTTTTTGAATGACTCATGATTGGACAAAGTTTTTGAAAACAAGTGATGTTCCTTTTATATATAAACCTCTGTTATGTTAATTTTGATTAATTTCCCTGAAGAAGTTCGGACCAGATTGCCGAACGAAACGTTGGAATTACGCATTTCAATCTCGCTGAGATTTTACAAATATAATTTTTTACAAATGTAGACTTGGTCGATTATGCGAACCAAGAGACGCGCCAATATATATATATAGAGAGAGAGAGAAAACAGAGAGAGAATAAATGAATGAATGAGGGATGTCATCCAGAAAGAAAGGAAGCATATCTGTCACTTCATTTCACTTTCAGAAAGGCAACAAAGAAGGAAATTGAAGCAAAACCGCGATTCTTGGCCACACCTGATAACGTTTTGAGCCACCGATTCAAAATACCTTTCGGACCGTAACCATGGAGTCGTGATGCACCAACTGATGCCAACCTAACATAAATACCCTTCATCCTCCCACCCACTCACCCCCCGACGCCACGTCATAAGCTCACCCACAATCCGTTTTCTCCCTCCCATCCGAGGGCTATAGGAGAGAGAGAGACTGATATGGAAGCCTCTGGAATGACATTCGTAATACATGCCCAGGCCACTAAGGCTGGTGTTTACACATGACGACACTCAATGAATGGTGATATCAACCGTGTTCAAACACACGCTGTCGGATTTCAGAATTAATTACACGATGATGTCATCCGACGCAAGCAATTCTACAGAGACAGAGACGATCTAATATAGCTTCTCAGGTACGCCTCCCTCTAAAACACACTTCCGGAGAGCAGTTCTGTCCAACAAATCGAAGGTAGGCCTAATACCAAGAAACACAACGATAGTTCGACTGCAATACGTCCCAACAACTGACTAAGGGTGAACACATGATCGATGCATCCACGACCTGGACGAAATCTAGACTAATCTTCGCGAATCAACTCTTCATGTGTTGTGTACAGCCTGCAAAGCAACAGAGCAGCCAATATTTTAGCCGCGACTGGTAGCAAACTAGTACCTATATGGATGTAGCACGTATTAGAGTCGGCCCTTTTTAAAGATGATAGCAGCTTCATTTTACATTGATAGAGCATCCCCAATTTCCAATAGCTTCATGAGCAATCCATTCAGAGGTATGATGAGAATCTCGCCTGACGATGATCATGACATTTTCAGCACAATTTATTGTGCACAGACACATCAGGAAAGGTGCTTACACAACTCCCAAAATTCGTTTATATAACACCATTATTTCTTTTCCTCTGATTTTATTGGCAGTAATATTTTCTACGTCTATGGAATTGGTGTTGCTGCGTCATTCCTATTGCACGTATTAGGTGTGATTTCGGTGGGCAAGGATTCAGTGATCAACCTCTCCCTCTCTCTCTCTCCCTCCTTCTACCTATGACTGTGTGTCAATGTTGGCATGGCAATTGCTGAGTATTTGTTTGCAAATTACTCATCCCCTTGGCGTCGATCATCTTACACTTAAATACATTCTGATAATGTTCTGATAATCTGACTGCCCTCAATTTACTGGTCTGGCCTATACAACTGACCTCACCACAGTCATTACAAGATATGTCGTAGATTACATTATTTTGTCTAAATGGACCAATAGAGTCCTTTAAGCTGCAGAGTTTGTCCGTAAGTGAGGTTGTAGGTTTAAATTCCACCCTAATTCCTGCTTTATTAAGAATCTTATGTAGGGTCTCTGATGTCCCCTCCTTAAACGGTAAAACCACTGTAGATACCTTTTATCCTTTCCTACTTATATTATCATCACTAGTCCCACTATTGTTTTTCTTGTGAGCCTTTGCGATCTTTTTAATGAATTTCATAGGATAGCTATTTAACACCAACACTTCTTCTATTTGTTTCATTTCATCGTTTAGGTTTTCTGGTGTACCACTTAGAGTTATTGCTCGGTTAGCCAAACAATGAACTAAGTCTTCTGTCAATGCTGGCGAACAATGGACCCTTTGTTTGTTCGAACTGATCTCCATTGGTGAGAGGCAAGAAGACTGTCATTGCTTAACCGTGTACTGGTTGACAGAAGATTGGAGAAATATGATCAGAAGCACTGTTGTACATTAATTACATCAACGTTTATTTACAGACTTTAGCAATGACTAACCATCGTATATATCTGCTTCTTTATCGGTTGAAGAATAAACAGTCGTGTCGCCTAACCGCTTTATGTTGTTCTGCGTCGGTTACATTAGTGCATTAGTGTTCTGTCTATTAGGCTTATTCTTCTGAAACCAACGATAGGTCCAGGATCTCTGAGATCAGGATATTTGACACCTACCCTTACAGATACCGGATGAGATGAATTAAGCTGAAAAGAGCAATTTGTGTGCGTTGGCTTTTTATAAATGCTAGTGTGTATACTTTACCTTCTTTTCGTTTTATTTCACAATCTAAGAAGAAACTAGAGATAAATTTCTGTCATCCACATATTTCTAGCATATCTTCAAAGTAGGATAAAGTGTATAAAGAGCCGCGCTTTTCCAGCTATCCATAAAGATACCTGATACGATTGGAGATATTACTGATCTTATTTCTATACCTGTTGTTTCTCTACATATATGTTTGCTCCAGAATCTGGCGACAGAAGACATGAGGCATGCTTGAATTCCTGAAGTAATTCCTTCAATTACATACGGCAGACCAATAAATCGAGAGCAGTCAGATTATCAGAAAATTGTCAGAATTTATCTAAGTGTAAGATGATCGACGCCAAGAGGATGAGTAATTTGCAAACAAATACTCAGCAACTGCCATGCAAGCAAGCATTGACATACAGCGACACAATAGGGTGAGACAGATCTAAGATTCGAAAAAGTAATATAGGTAGAAGGAGAGAGAGACAGAGGTTGATCACTGAATCCTTGCCCACCGAAGTCACACCTAATACGTGCAATAGGAATGACGCGCCAACACTAATTCCACAGATATGCAAAATATTCCTACCAATCATCAAATCTACGGAGAAGAAATAATGGAATTATATATACATTCCTGAACCTCGCCTAGATTACTAGGTCACTAGTATTCTAGCCGGTCCCAAGCCCGGATAAAGAGGGAGGTTTGGGGCGCGGCGCTAGCAACTCCACCCCCAAAACTTAACCAAAGTGCTACTAAAACTTCAAAGCACAAACATATCAAAAATTCCACTCAGCGAGGCTTTTGGAGTAAACACAGGAGTCAGACAAGGGTGCTTATTATCACCAATGATATTCCTAACTGTGGTGGACTGGATTATGCGTCAGACAGTGGGAAACGAAAAGACGAGAAGAAGAAGGCATATCCTGGACCGACGTGAAGAATCTAGAAGACCTGGATTTCGCGGATGATTTATGTTTGATGTCACACAAAATCGAAGACTTACAAGCGAAAACCGACAAACTGGTCGAAGAAGCAGCCAGAGAAGACATGACTCCAGGTGAACATAGACAAGACGGGGGTTATGAAAATAACCAACCAACAACAACAACAGCAGTAGCAACATCCACCGCCAATCACCATCAACGGGAGGGATTTGAAAGAGGTTACTTCATTCACTTATCTAGGGAGCATTGTCTCAACTACAGGCCGGTGGAACGGACGAGGATGTCAAATCGAGAATCGGGAAGGCGAGAAACACATTCATCCACCTGAAACCAATCTGGAAATCTTCATCACTCAGCATCAACGACAAAATGAATCGGATTTTCAATACAAAAGTCAAGTCAGTCAGTTCTTCTATACGGATCAGAAACTTGGCGGGTCACAAAGAATATTTCCAATAGCCTGTTGCACACCTTTATCAACAACTGTCTTCGCTGGCTCTATACTGAAGATCAGATGGCCGCCGGAAAGAATCACCAACAAGAAACTATGGGAACAAACAAACAAAACAAGAACCAATCGCTCAACAAATATGCAGGAGAAAGTGGAGATGGATTGGACACTCGCTGAGGAGACCGCTGGGTGATATCGCGCGTCAGGCCATCGCTCGAGTGGAACTCGAAAGGGAAGCGGCGGCGAGTGGGACGTCAGTTCAAGGGTGACATGGAGGAGATCGTGTGAAGAAGAGTTGAAACAGTGTGGACTAACATGGATGCAAGTGAAAAGTACAGGAGAAGACAGAAACAAGTGGAGACGTGCAGTTGAAGCCCTATGTTCCAATAGGAACCCAAGGGAACAATTACAATATATATAATATATATTCCTGATGTGTCTTTGAGCAATAGATTGTGCTTAAATGTCATCAGTAGATGATACTGCATCCATTGTGTAATTCTCATTGTATGATGGAACTATTAGTCTACCATAGTATGCAAGTCACCTTCTTCTTCTTATACCAATGAAGCTACACAAAGAATTGATGCTGAAACCCTGGAACCAACATTATCTCTTGTCTCTGTACTATATGTAAACTAAAAGATCGATCAGAGGAAGAATACAAAGAAGACAATGTCATCTATAAAAAGTGGGCTGGCATACACCACGAAAAGTAGTACTCTATGTTGGCCAAAGCGGACGTGTCCTGTTCACCTCTCCACATCCATGAAAAGACATGAAATGCATTCATCATCCATATCGGTTCACTTGAACAACTACGGTGATTAATTCAACTGGGAGGACTGGACAATGTAAAAGTCCTAAATCGAGGAAATACAAAAGGATGTTAGAGAGATCCTAAAGACCAGGTACTAAAATCAATTTGAAATTCAAGTGTTGGTTTTTAGGGATTTGATTGGTTACAGAATTTCATCATGAGCTGACACTGGTTAGAGAACCACTGAAAAACCTGCTTGGGAGTACTGGACAGCTGTTTCGTCAGCCTAGTTTGGGACTGTTCATCAGTACGCACCAACCAGGGTTCGAACCCAGGACCTTGTGCTCGTAGACCATTAAGCCACTGGGACCCAATCCAATGGCCGGCACATGAATTCTAACTTCTGCCAATTCGTGACATAGCGCGACCACTGGCCAACGCGTCTTCGGCGAGAATTTGTACTCACACCCTAGCTGATGCACCCTACTGGTCACGACTTCTCACTAGAACCCCAGGTAACTACCCACCTCAATAGGGCAAGTGGCTAGTGAGCATTTCATCGATATTCAAGTGGTGGGTGCGTACTGCTGAAGAGTGCCAAACTAGGATGAAACAGTTGTCCAGTACTCCCAAGTTTTCCAATGGTTCTCTAACCAATGTCAGCTCATGATGAAATCCTGTAACCAATTTGAAATTAACAGGAATGTATATATCGATTAAATCTATCAATAAAGAAAAAACTAAATGACATGAATGAAAGCTCACCCTACCAGGTCGACAAGAGGATCAATATCAATACAAAAAGATTAAATCATGAGGTAATCTATGTGAAAATAAGCAATCACAGTAAAGATCACCAAGAGAGACAAATATCTCCCTCATCCATTAAACAATTCAAAAATCTCCCCTTCTGGAAAACATTCCAGAAGCAAAATAAAAACTTCTTAATTAATTAAACCGACCAGCTCAGTGGACACAATAATCACCGGCAAAATTATTTTTCAATCTTAGGAAGAATTATCCTCCCCCCCCCATTTCAGATATTCAAACATGAATCCTCCACTGCTGACAGCATATACCACAGCATCACCACTCCACCACATAAATCACGATTAATCTGTCTCAGGTGTACAAACAAGTTACTCAGCAGCAATTAATGTAGTATTTTGTGTATTTCTCATACCCAATCAGAATCTGTCTACCACGTGTGTGTGTGTGTGTGTGTGTGTGTGTGCGGTGTCCATTACACTTTAATGCTCTAGTGTACTTTGTAGAAGCAATTCAAAGATGTAACACACTAAATGAAATAATTTATGTTTCATTTCAGAAGCTGACAAAATGCAGCAACTTCTCAACACCTCGAGCAGAAACCTTAGAATGTTTGGTATGCGATTCTCTTCCCTTCTCAAATGTAAGATGATGCTACAGGACTGGACTGGACTAGACTACATTGACTCACTCCTAGCTTAAAGATAGACAGGAGTGAAGGTTGGTCGCTGGAGAAATCTCAGCACAGATACATTAGGCTCGTATAGGATTAACCTACCTGCATCAATTTTGACGTAGACATGATATCCGTCCGGTTGGCCGTCAATCAAAGGACGGGTGTACTGCTTAACAGTTCTCTCTGTCCTACTTTACAGGTGACTGTGAGACATGGCCACTGACACTGGAAGACATGAAAAGGTTAGTTGTCTTTGATCTGCGCTCCATCTCCTGTGTTAGGTGGTATAATAGGGTGAGCAATATTGAGTTTACATATCCACTGTTAGATGAGAAGGTTCAGTAAATCAGGGAGGTTGTGAAGCTACATCGATTGAGATAGCTAGGACAAGTAGTACGTATGCCAAGCCATCGCCTTCCCCAACGGTCGATGTTAGTCGACACAGGTGATCCAACCAAAACAATGGCATCAATCCATGAAATCTGAAACAGTTGGTTTGAACCACATAAGGTGAAGGCTGTCTGGTTGGGGTCTGCGGGATGACAAAAACCAATGAAGGCTGGAGACAATTGGTAGTGGATATGGCTCAGAATCGTTCTCAATGGCTGGCGCAGATGCACTCACTCTGGAGTGTGGCAATTTGAACTGACGAGCATCTGTGCAGAGTTCTATGTCAGTCAGTCAGTCAGTATTTCCAAGGACATCCATCAGTCAACGACAATAACAATAACAACACACGTCCACACACATATTTATCAAAAATTACAAGATAGAACAAAATAATAATTCTAGATTGAAAAAACACAACTCACATAAACATTAGAATAGGCTGAGCCAACTTTATTCTCCAAAGATTTGTACGCATTAGATTGGCTAAAATGTTTACAGTAAAAATTAAAATAAGCTGGATGAAGTTATTGCATAACACAGTTTCATTTTATTCAGATTGCAATAATATTCTTCCACTAATATTATAAACAACACCTGTCGTTTGAACTTAGGTTCCCAGAAGACGTCATTTATGTTCCTAGCAGCTAAGAGCCATACATGAGTATTGAATGAGAGTTGACGATACTCCCCGGTTGCCCAGGTTAAAGTAGATGAAAAGGGGATTCAGATTAGAGGCCCACTGGATAAAAGTTGAGTGCTTAAGTTAACCAGCCCCATCCCCGCATAAACTACAACTATTTTCCTAGCTAACACAATTACATTATCGACTAACAGCTTCCTGAAAGAAAATAACACTTACTTGCAGAAGATTTTAAACCTATTGCTTGTCAAGGAAGTTGGTAGTTCGGCATGTCTAGTACTTGTCCCAACCACACACACACATACACACCTTAAGTTGATAAAACTCCACAATATATCACATCGACTGAACTGCCTTTCCTATTTAACAATAATACACTCAACTTTATTATTACTTATCACATTGTTCTGCGTCATTTCAGAAACTTAAAGACGGTACCAACAGTCTAAACTTCTCAATCGTTTTATATCTACTTTCAGTGGTCATATCCCAAAGGCTTATATTACAAAAGAAGGATGTGCTGTATCTTTTCATATCCTTCACTTCCAATGGTCATGTCTCTCTCTCATAGTCAGCTATAAAGGAGGATGGGGTGAACTGCTGAACAGCCGGATATCATGTCTACGCCAAAGATGGTGCAGGTAGGTTAATCCTATACGAGCCTACTGTATCTGTGCTGAGATTTCTCCAGCAACCAACCTGCTGGGGTTGGCTGATGCAAATTCCCAAATAAGTGAAGTGGTCAGCACGCTCCACCAGCCACTTTACTCCCGTCTATCATATTAAGCCAGGAGTCAACATAGTCCAGTCCTGTAGCATCATCTTACATTTGACAAGGGGGAGTGAATCGCATGCCAGACATTCAAAGAGTGCTGCTGAAGGTGTTCAGAACACTCTGCACTTTGTCAGTGTGTGGTAACAAGTCAATTCCTAAATCACTGAAGTCAATTAGGGTCAATTCCATTAGTACGTCTACGATGAAATTAAACATAAAATGAGGACAGTAGGCATCCTTCGCTGACGGACACCACTGGTGGTCCTCACCTGTGATGAAGACGACGCAGACTGGTAGAAGATGCCAAATAAGTTTTCCGTAATTTCAACATGCAGAGATATTCATTAGGGAAAAAGAAAAATCGAAAGTAATCCAAGATTGAGAGATGAGATTCTCTATCTCATCAAAATAATACCACGACTACTGCCTTTCAATGGAAAAGAAAACAACTGCAGTATGAGAAACAGAGTGTAGCCTTTGGTTTCCTCCCCCCCCCCCCGGCCCAACAGGAATCAACTAGAAATTAATTAAAATGCACAAAGCAATAAATAATGCTCTCAGTTATATGGTTTCAATAATTCTGCAAAGTATTATAAAACTCTTATGACGTAAATTGTTTCGAAATGAATCGATTAATTCGACATTGGTTTCTTTAATTCAATGAATAATAAATTTTTTTAAAAACTCAATTTATGAGCACACAAAAAATAGACAAACGTAGCATACCGTAGCAGATTCCATTTTTCGTATAATACAGCTGATGTCTTGTCTTTAGCAGTCTTGACAACCGCTGATGTTTTCAGGTATCTGAAGGAAAATAAACAGAAAACAGAGGTTGTTGTTTTTTTATTTTAAATAGCAAGCAAAACCTCTCACAGATAGATAACATGAACAAAAATCAACATGACAGATGGAATTGACAGTCTGTATCAATAATCAAGGACTAGGACACCCCTGACACTAGTTCTTACCACCTAGTTTCCACACAGTCCTACTAGGAGGTCAGTCAGTCATGAGCCCGAGTAGAGCTCAGTGGTAATGTCTCGGAGTTTTTTCGAAGATTCCGGATACGTTTTAATGACTGGTGAGTGTTTACAAGCACGAAAACTAGATCCAATCCAAGGCCTCCTCCAGACAAGTAAACATTGTCTGTCAGCATGGAACATGGAACTGTAAGTGTGTGCATGTATGTGATCACTATGACGATATTGATGAAATGTAATTAGAAGAAAAAGCTTAACTAACTAGCCGGTGTGTGTGTGTGCATTACTAATAAAACTTTGTGACATGGCAAATTCTAAAAGTAGACGACGGATTTTCTAATTTAAGTCTAAATAAGCCTGCCTAACTAGGTTATCATAAATACTTCTGTTTACTAAGAACAAAGTCACTTTATTAGGTAAGAAGACTCTTTGCGGATGATTTGTGTCATGCAAACTTGAAGACCTACAAGCGACAACCAATAGGTTGTCAAGAGCGGAAGGCAGCGAGGACAAGACTTCAAGTAAAAATAGACAAGATGGAGATGATGATGAAGATAATCAAACAACAACAACAAGCACTGATCACTAACAAAGGAGGAAATTTGAACGTAGTTACTTCTTTCACTTATTAGGACTGCATCGATTCAAGGGAATCAGGATCGTAAAAGAAAGATACGCCTTCAATTACTGTGAAATCTGTATGGGAATCGGCTGCAATCAAAATAAAGAACAAGATCCAGATTTTCAACACTAATGTCCAGTTATACTCAGCGCTTCTATATGGTTCAGCGACTTGAAGTGCCACCAAAGGCATATCAAACAGGCTCCTCTACTTCAGACTTTTATCAACAGATGTCTTCTTTGGCTCCATATATATTGAAGATTAGATCGCCAGAAAGGATAAGCAACGAGAAACTCTGACAAGTGAATATGCCTGAAGAAAATGGAAATGGGGTAGACAGATGCTGAACAGACCATCGTGTGATATCACACACCAAGCCCGCGGGTGCAACCCGAATGGTAAACGGAGAGTTTTGTGTCCAAGGGTAACATAGAGAAGATCGTGTAGGCAGGAGATGAGAGCTTGTGTGCAATCTTCGAGCCAGCTAGAGAGGGCCGTAGAGAACAAGTTGAAATGGAGATGTGCTGTTGAATCCGTGTGCTCCACACAACCAACAAGTGTGTTCAACACAGAAGATCAGATACCTGGCTATAAGGGACAAGCATCAGGGAAATCTGGTAGGCAACAAACTAGCCAACAAATTATCATCCATCAAACATGCTAAGAGGACCCTCCAAGCGATATCAAAAGTTTAGGCCCTTGAATGGAATACGAATAGGAAGTGATGAGTAGAGCACTCGAAGATGACATAAGGAAGATAATGTAAGGATAAAATGAAAGCTTGTGGGCCATGGTGGAGTCAGTGAAGTGTTCACAGAGAACCAAGTGCTCTATAGAGATATGCCGCTGAAAATCTATATCCCACTCGGAACTCAAGAAATGAGTGATATGGTCATAATAATGATGAATACAACTCATCACAGGTATAAGCTCAAAATGAGATAGAAACAGGATTTGAACTTGTAATGTACAAAACACTTGACCACAACATAACATAACTACTTATAGGAAAATCAGTTAAGAAATCAAAAGATGCAGAGACATTTGGGAGCAAGACATTCCTTTCACTAAATATACAAGGAATGCAGCTATATCATTAAGCTTAGTTTCTGTCTCTGTACGCCAGCTATTCTGATAACATATCCTACAATTTATTCGAGATAGTATTTAAAAATATGAACTTCAAAATAAATGTATCCTCTGTCATAAACAGCTATTGAAAGTAGGAGGATGATTGCGCATCACTCATCACTGAATCTCTTAGCTCCGTCATATAGTGAAGACTCATCCATCAATATCAACACCTGCATAGGTAAAAAAGCGTCTGTCCATACAGGGAGAATCATATGTCCTAGTAATGCGAGAGTTACGCTCCACTGCCAAGGACACTAATATACATATGTGATTGTTGAACAGTTAAGTTACCTAGTCGACTAAACCCAGGACCCATTGGTTTAGAGTCGAGTATTTTTTTCAATGAGGCACATCTTCACACTCTACTGAATAAAAAAAATTGTTAAATACAATCATCATTTCTGAGTTACTAAGTCAGAATTAGTAGTAAACTCTACACACTAAACACAGAAAGGAGTAACTGGAAATACTGAGCATCCGTCAGTACTACTGGTCAACTAAACCAAAATGCTTCAAATACTAGACGACAATTCACGTTTCTGAAATCGGTTGGACTCGCCAGTTTCAGACACAAACTAAATTAGCTTAGATAACTGTCTTATTTAAACCACCTTAATTCTACTTGAGGAAGACGGGTAGAAAGGGGAATGAGAAAACGCTACATAAATACGTAATACAACTGCTTACGCATCACTAGTTCGTAAAGTATCCAAACCTTGTTTAACTTCACTTTTGAGTTCAGCAATCGGTGTAATACCAAGTTGACGTTTTAAATACTGCTGACGTCGAAATTTCGATATAAGAACTTGTCTCAATGTTTGGATTTCATCTTCCACCTAAAGGAAAAATAGGCACAGAAAATATCATACTGCGATGTTCTTTCTAAATAAAAACAAAAGAAACGGTAGATTATGAAACATATCAATAATAGTTAGGTAGAAGTTAGATGCCTGGAACAGATTTTCCTATATCAGACTAGCAGTCACACGTACTCTATGAGAGGTAATAACCCCACGCAAACTGCAGTTGGTAGAGTGAAATTTAAACTCAGGGACCATTTGCTGAATACAGAGCACTTAGGCTAAAGAGCCGCACTTCTGTCAAACATTAATAATATCCATTCAGATATAACAGAACAATATCTATGCTCCTTAACTTCTTTCTTGGAGTTTTCCATTGTTGAATCTAAATTACCCAAAACAGATCTTTCGTACACCACGCTAAGAGCCACACTTCTTGTGATAGTACCCAGTTGACCAGATTGAAGTATGTGAATTGGAGCTCGAACCTACTACCTACCTATTGAAAACCGAGTGCTCAGCGAATGAGTCACATTTTGAGTTGCAAAGTAAGCCCAAGAGAAAAACTGAGACAATTTGTTCATGCATTTTAAAGCCTTCACATGAATCATTAGAGTCTTGGCTCATAGTCGATGGATGTGAATAAAAAGTCCTCTAAAAATGAAAACAGTACAGCAGAACTGTCATCTCTCTTCTTATCTCTTAATCCTTTCCTGCATCTACTCACTTGAAATTCATCGGAGATCACCGTCTTGAATCCAATCAATGAAAATATGTTACAGGGAACTAACATCAGAAGTGGATGATGTTAAAACGGAAATGTGTTTAATACTTTACGGTCGTTTAATGTTTGCAATTAATCCAATAAAAAAACGGCGAAGTTCAACAATAGCGTCCCAGGAATATGAACGCCCTAATGACCTTGAACGCATGCTAGTCGTTGGCTAACGGCATTTGTCATTATCATAGCTGAAATATCAATGCTATTCATCAACTTAGGAGCGAATTTCACCCAGATCACGTTTTTAAATACTGTTTGGACAATATGCTAATAGCTCGTTAGGGTTAGAATTAAGGTTAAGGTAAGTATTGGGTTTAGGGTTAGGATCAGGGTTATAACTAGCATTAGGGTTAGAATTACGGTCTGAATAAGGATTATGATTAGGGTTAGGTTCAGTGTTAGGGTTAGGATTAATCTTATGGTTAAGATTAGGGACAGATTTATAGTTAATGTCATTTATTTTAATTTGTTTTATTATCCACTTGCTAGCAACCATAACAGTCCAACCAAGGGCTTTTTGGAAGACTGCAAGCAGGATAAGAGAGATAAACGATTCACAAAAAGTTTATCTGTAGTCATCTCGGTGAATACATGTACAGAAACTAGTCTAACTTAGCAAGTGATACTCCTCGTTATAACTAGGACGTATTTTTAAGCCATGTCAGAGAAAGATAACCTTTTAATGCGTTTTGAAACGTTTTCTTGTCAATATACATGATGTTTTGAGCAAACATTCCTCATATTTATGATTGATCAGTTGAAGGTCACTCGTGCGTTCGTACTCCTGGGACGCTATTATTGAACTTGAGTAAAATCTATAGAGTTTTCGATAGTTACTTACAGGGAACACATATTTTCTATGAATGTACATACTCATCTGCAAATTGTCAAATCCACTTACTTGCTTCAATTCCTCTGCCCATTGTGCCTTCAATCTTGTAAGTGAATCACCAGTGAGATTACTCTCCCTTGAGACATCAACTCCAGTTGGGATATTACCACATACTTCATCTTCATTTGTCTCAAAATAATGTTCTAAAAAGGTTAACGTTTAAAACAAGATATCAAAATAGTGTGACATATAGCTGCACAGATATTGTGTTGTAGGGATATGATTTACTTTCATGTAGATTTCATCACAAACCGACATCTGTTAAAGCGTTATTGGGATGTGAGTTCGCACTCTAGTGATTTCATAGGTCCACGTTAATTGGAACTCAGAAACTACGATGAAACAGTTGTCCAGTGCTCCACGGCTTATAATGAATCTCTAACTAGTGCCAGTTTGTCAAGAGAACTAAAGCAAAATATATATACAGTAAAAAAAATGTCATGATAATCTCCGCAAGTAAATTTAATAGCCTGAAAATTGTACACATAGAGTAAGTAACAACTATGCTACAAGTTTTCACACAAAAAGCAGACGTAAGCAACTGAGAGTTTTAGAAAAAAATACCAACATGCCTAAACCGTAACTTCATGAATACTTTAGAATATCCTGAGCACAACGACACTCATGACGCCCTCAATATTCCTTATTACAGTGAAAAAGAGAATTCCAACCTTATAGGAAACTGATCACCCAAACAAACAATTGTGTACTGAGTTGACAGGAATTTTCCCTTGAATACCGAGAAACCTGCTGCAGAAAGTCAAGTATTTATGCACAATATGAACAATTTAAAGGTGCACAAGTAGCATGTATGTCGGTAAACAATAGACGACCTGTCAGACATGTCGTGTGGGAATATATTCTCACAAAACGCTCCTAACGGAAAAGAAACATAAACGCGCCGCATGAGAATGTCATTAACATAAGTCTTTTAATTGGACGTTTACATAGACCTCACTAACCATCAAGATATGGAGAATCCATGAGAAAGTTTGTTGCGCAATATTCAAGCTAGGCGGCACACAACAAACAATTTTTTAGTTTTAGCAGAATAAAGTCAGACACAAAAGTGTTTACTTAATGTTAGCTGTTTACTTTTTTAAGCTCTGGGACTAAATTATTTTGAAGAAATAATTAATTTTGCGGTGATACAATATCCAGCAAAGGTGTCCAATGTCAAAAGTAATTGCGATGAGGTTTTACCAACTCATTGGTGTATCCAGGTTTGATAGTCGGCGTTCACGGCCAATTGTAGGTTTCCTCTATATTGCATACAACAGATCCATCTCATCGGGTCCTAAATCCCTCTTTAAAGTTTGGTGACGGATTGACGTCAGATTAAGATTTATTGGTTGAGGATAGAAGGCTTGGAGCCGATTTGTTTCGTTAAAGAGTTTAAAATATTTCTCAGTTTATTCCTATTTTGCCTGAAGAGCCACAAGGGAACCTCTCATACATGTCAGAGACATGTTGCAAGATCAGGTCCCGGGTGTGCGTCTGTGACACAGTGGTTAGGACTCTCGCCGACCATGCACATGGTTCGGGGTTCGGTCCCCTGCCGACGCACGCCCAATATCTATGGTCGCCCTGCAAAATTTGGGCTACCGATATCCATGCTGAAAATGCCATACTTGTACTCAAATACAGTTTGGCATCAAGCTGTAATCAAAATTTTTAAAAATTCCTGTAAGAGAAGACGAAGAGACAAGAATAGCTAAACTAACAAAAATGATGTGGTATAAATCTTTTTATGGAAATTGGTACAAACAAACACGAAACATAAAAGCCATAGGCAGAAGGGGCAACTATAGAAAGCCTGCATTTCAAAAGGTTGGACTATTTCTTCAGTATTCCATCTGGGGATTCTGTAAATCCACCGGGCCCTCGAATCTATTGGAAGCATTTGGCCTTCACAACTTTTCATAAAACAGCATGTGTCAGCATGATGGCTCCTCCTGTCACCCTTCCGAATTTCCCTCAACAAGCAGCGACTTTCTTCAAAGAAGCGGCGAAACAGATGAAAGTCACAGAATGAAGGGAGACCGCAACTATAATTTGTGACTTTTTATTTTTAGTAACACTGTTATGGTTATGGCACTACGGATCAGAAACTTGGCGGGTCATCAGGAATATTTCCAACAGCCTGTTGCAGACCTTTATCAACAGCTGTCTTCGCTCTATACTGACGATTAGACGGCCAGAAAGAATCACCAACAAGAGACTGTGGGAAGAAACAAAACAAGGACCAATCGCCCAACAAATATGCAGGAGAAAGTGGAGATGGATTGCACACTGGCTGAGGTGGCCGTTGGGTGACATCGCGCGTCAGGCCATCGCTCGAGTGGAACTCGAAAGGGAAGTGGCGAGTGGAACGTCGGTGCAAGGGTGACATGGAGGAGATCGTGTGAAGAGGAGTTGAAACAGTATGGACTAACATGGATGCAGATGAGAAGTACATCAGAAGACAGAAACAAGTGGAGACGTGCAGTTGGAGCCCTATGTTTCACTAGGAACCCAAGGTAATAATAATAATAACGCTGTTATGGTGTAATACACCGGTTTTATAATCAGCACCTTGCAATATCAGGCGGCACAGTGGTTACGACTCTCGCCGACCATGCACATGGTCCGGGGTTCGATCCCCTGCCGACGCACACCCAATATCTATGGTCGCCCTGCAAAATTTGGGCTACCGATATCCATGCTGAAAATCCCATACTTGTACTGAAAATGCGGTGTGGCATCAAGCTGGAATCAAAAAAAGTAAATAAATAAAAATAAAGTTGCATGTAAACCAAACCAGTTCTCAAGAGCGAGATGTGCGTCATTAAACTATATTCAGTATAAGTGCGTCTAAATACTAATCGAAGGTCTTCACTGTTTTCACTCAGATGCCCCATACATCGTCAAATGAGTTTTTACTACTGGTTTTTAGTACAACAACGCCCTACTCAGCTGTGGTCTATGTGACTCTTAGGCAAAAGTGGTCATCATCATCAAGGTTATTGCAGTTAGACTTTTAATTACCTTACGATTCTTTCATGCAAAAATTATTTGGATGTATAATTTACACACCCCGTTACTTCCTCTGCCTTCTAGCCGTAACGGGAAGAAACAAGTTGGTCTTTCTTGGAAAGGTGAGATGAGTTATAATTTACATGAATGCTTGGTTTCTTTGACCTAGTAGAGCGAGGTGATATGATGATAACAGTCCGAACAGCTATGAAAAGGAGTTCCCAGACATGACTTGAAGATATAGGACTGTAAATTACTCTCCGAAACGAGTTAGTCACCATTTCACGTGGAGACATTTGAAGGCATTTTACTGAAGACCATCATGAAGATTGATGAAACGAGATGCTAGTAATGAAAACATTTGCTCACCCTGGGCAGCTGTTATGTGCAATCAGAAAGGGGTGAAGGTGCACACAGAAGTCAACAGATTACTGAACACGTGGTGCTACAAAACTCGGATCTTTGTCAGTGGAGGCTGTCTACCACAGTCAACGGATACTCAATGTCACGCATTTGGAGACTCAGATTACGTCAGCCTTCGTTTCATTTCTTTTGTATACTACGAGAAGGGTACTAAGTACGGTCATTTTCAAAGATAATACTCCAAACAATTAGTAATGTACCCCGGTTTGAAGTTAGCTTGCGGGGTGCGTGATTCTAATATCCCTGTTAAGTAAGCAAAATTATTCCCAACCATCAACCATTTCAGGTTAATAACGTCTAATCTGCGGTTGGAACTAAGAACATCCCTTCAGAGGGAGATCGAAGTTGCAGCTATGACTCCAGGACTTTTAACAGTATTAATTCCAGAGTACATTTCTAATCGGAAAAGGAATGAACGAAAATTCGGAGTATTTCAAGCTTTCTACTAAAAAACCAGCTTGATGCAAATATCTAATAATAATAATAATAATGTAATATATTTTGTACGTGAGAAATGCCAGTTTACTGGCATCACGAATATGATTAGTAAGCATATTTAATAATAATGTAATAAAATACATATTTATTCCTACTTATGTAGGACACACTAGGTGTACAAGCATGGATAAGTATTATTTAAATTACATAAGTTTGGTTTATGGCGAAACTACACGGTAGCTGTCTTTTTCGCCTTTAGTTTGTGAGAACGATCTGATAACTAGTGATTCACGGAGCTCATCAAGACATATAGAAATATTGACTTCGCATTAAAAAACAATAGGAAGCTTTGTCGAAGAAAAGATGGTAATTGTGTTCCTATGCTACCTGCAACAATGTTGTTTAGTTGTGCTAACCGTCTTTAAAAGTGAGCAGTGACGTTACAGCCTGTACTCGTCAACCCCTTAGTGCAGTTCACAACAACAACCTGATAAGTTTTATGACATACAGAGGAAATGGAAATAAGACTGGTGTTCAGGACTGCGCAGGAAGTGGGGAATAATAAACGTATGTTTCAGGTGTAGCACTCTGTATACAAATGCTGCCCAGAGGAACTGAGAACAAAAGCCTGGACCTGTCAGTGAAAGCCATTAAATTCTGGTTTCCAGACCAAAGAATAAGGAAGAAACCTGAACGAGTATCCCAACAGGCAAATACACATGAGTGTTTATGCATCGAAAACAAATACTTCATTCTCTATTAAGCTGATGCAACTGCAATTACACTTAAAATACACTTCATTATTTTGATTCTAGAAAATGGTAGCTACTGGCAACAAAACATTAATTGCCCCTATAAGTTAATCAGGAAGTATGCGGGAAAATGCAAAACTAGAATTAACGATAGGTATAGTAATATTACTGATGACAACGCGCATGTCAAAAAAGCACAGGATAGTGGCAACACCAACAGTAGGGAGTTTAAATCATCAGTAGTTCTAACATGCAAACATTACAGGGAATCCTTAAAAATGCAGGAATAAAAGTGGCATTCAAACCTACAAATTCGCTTAGAAATGGGCTTAGCCGGTTAGGGAATGTTATGGATCCAATTAAACAGAACCATTTGGTTTATGTAATACCCTTCTGGAATCACTGTCAGGCCAAATACATAGGTCAAAGTAGTAGAATGGGGTCAGTCAAACTAGCGGAGAACGAAAACCCAGCAAAATCTAGATTAGTTGACTCTCATAAGATACGAAATCCGGAGAATAGTTAGGTTACGGCAGCGCTACATGTAATTACACACAATCGTACAGAATGGGACGGGATAAGATGACGATAGTTCTAAAATATAATATCAGGATGGAGGGAGAGATAGATGACAGAAGCTTTATTTATCGAACCAGCTGAACACGTGCAGCAGGAATGATTCAGCGCCTGTCTCAGACATCTGAAAAATTCTACTACCCTTACGATATGTAGGAGAGAATAAAGAAAACCATAAAACTCAAGTTTCGAAGTCATGTGATTACAGTTGATATGGTTATGGACAATAAATTGTTTTGGAAACGTAACCCAGTGGATAATACTGTTTCCATGAGTGATACACCTGATGAACAATTTAATATGGCACATTGTACCATTCGGCATACGGTTTCATTAAAAGCGAGTAAATGGATTCTTGAATACGTGAGAAAAACGAGGAACATGCGAAAAGCAATATATGATGTTACATTTCACCCAAGTCTTGCTCGCATCTTACTAGTAAACAGTTGTTCACATATCCCACGTTTTACCCTAATTTCCCATTTGCACTCCCCAAATGAACAAGACACCATAGTTAACGTAAATCCATGATGTATACTGAAGTATTAGTAGCCATCAGCATAGCGTCCTTTATATGAAGAATATATGATATATCTTCTCAAAGGATTCGCTAATTTACGATACCAGTGAATGACTGACTGCAATGCTATATAATTGGTCGTTCTCCTGAGGAAGAGCGGAACAGTCCGCCAAACAAAACTTTGGAATTATTCACTTAGCTTTCGCTGATATTTTCGCAATTATAAATTTGCACACATTTATTTTACACTCAGCACCCGATCTTTGCTGAAACATTGGATGACACCCTGACCAGAGTTCTCATGAGAG